GTAGTAGAAATCTAATTCCTGATATCAAGAATTAAGATTTTAACTAGTAAAAATTGAATTGTTGATATCAAGAATTAATATACCGTGAAGGAATAAAAGTCAAAACGGCTTGCCATACTATAAGACAAAACAAGCTTAGCATTGCAGAGGAGTCAAGTGACCGATTATCAGTCAATAAGCTGCAGTCTTCAGACTTATCATATTGCTTCAGAAGACCTGAAACATACTGAGCTGATACTTGTATGCTGCTTGTTCAGAGCTTGCCATCCATGGTCACCTTTGACAAGGAAAATACACAGAAAAATCAGGATATCTGCCTAACTTTGCCATTCAGGTTGGAATGACATGAGGGTAAATGGCAGTATTTTAGTTGAAAACCCAAATGTGAGTCCAAAATGACATGCTCTACAGTATGCACTCAACTATGCCCTGTGTATTAAAAGATTATATTACGACTGTTAAGTGTGTGAAGTGTCCAACATTTCACTTTTTTTTTCAGTTAAATAAGTGCATATTTGAAGTGCACTTCTTTGTGTGCTCACATTTTTCATGGATAATCAAGTAAACCTAAGTTTCTTCAGTCCAATAAGTGAAGCATTGGAATAATAAGTGAAACATCTTGAAATATTACTAACAATTAAACAGCACAAACTACGCAACAGCTGCAGCCCTTCTGGTGCACACAGTGTCCAAATTCACGCACTTGCTTTCATTCACTCGTTCAAGTTCTAATACAGTATTGGAATAATGGAAGCCACATAAACATGACATGACATAACTGATTTTTTTTCAGCATTATGTTATCTTTTTCTCAGATTATTTTGTATATATGTCTTATGTACGCTGTCTGACCTGTACGTAACTGAACATGTTGATCACAACCCAATGAAATCACACACACACACACATCAACACACAATAATAAGCACACAGAGAAAGCACACATTTTATCCGGGAGTAAAGTGTTTAATGAAACAGCATTTGAGGGGTCTTAGTTGTGAAGACATCTGAGTTTCTTTCATGTGAGGATGTGCGGAAGCATTGTCTGTCTAAATCATACCGTGTGAACAGGCTGTGTAGAGATTGTCTTAATTAGAAGCTGTTTTCGAATAATACTTTGGGAATCCCTTTGCTGGAACGCATCGCACAATCTAGGTTTGATTTTCTTCTAAAGGCCTAAAACATTGCTTTAAATAGGATTCCCACAGTCATAAAACCTGGAAAGTTCAGAGAATTTTAAAATGATGATTTCCAGACCTGGAAAAGTCAAGGAAATTACTGAAATTATAAAAATGTAATGGAAATTTTACACTGAAAATAAAAAGTAAACATTTAAATTACCTGGTTTTATAATCAAAAATAGTATTTAGTATCACTGAATCAACCTAAATACATTAATTTATACCAAAATGATACATTTTTATGGTTTGAATCTGGCAAAAATGGCTATTTAAGGCACCAATTGCACCACATTCTACGGTGTATAAAGATTAAATAATCATTTGTAGTTATGCTTAGCTTTTACCTAAATACCCTGTAAAAAGATTTTTTGAAGTTTCAGTATGTTTTACAAGAAAATACTATTTCAGTCTTTCTACTTTCAAATTTCATTCAATGGTTACTCGATTATGTCATTTGTGCAATTTGCTCACCATGACTCGCTGATTGGTTGGATTTTCTGTACAGCGTCATGGGTAATGCAGTTTTTCACCAGGGATTCTGCATTTAAACATGATTATTAAAAAAAAAAGTTGAAATAACATAAACAGATGGCTTCAACAAAAGCATATACCATCGATTAACAACCTCAGAGCTCACAGTAGGTCTGTCTTTAGGGGGTCTATAAGTTATCATTAAAAATCAACTTCCCTATGGATAACACTGAATCGTTGAACTCTGTTGCTAACGACAGAGCTTTACGACCATAGATGTCTAGCAATGCTTTTGAGAAACGCACCCCAGAACGGCAAATGTGAGCCAATGATGCTTTAAACTCTTGCACATTTCCACTAGATCACATTTCTTGCAAATTGTTCATAAACAGCATATATAATCA